CTCCTTTGATTTCAGACATCCACACAAATTCACAAAAGTGAGCAGACAAAGGTTTCTCAGGAGAATTCCATACAGATAATGTACTGCTAGGGTAGTCACTTTCATAGGCACACGCAGAAACCATTATATGCTCTACAGTACATCTGGGCTCTGAAAGTACATCAGAGCCTTTTAAATTGGAAAGGCAGAAGGGTTTGGGCTAGAGTACCTGGGTTCTCTTGCCTTTACTCATTTAGAGAAAAAAAATACAAAGGTATCTTTCATGGTAACTAGGGATTCCATAGTAGGGAATGTCTGCTTAAATGCCTCCCCAAGAAGCAAGAGCTAAAACAGAGGGAACTGTACAGGTACTTTATATTCTCTACAGTAGCATTTATAAGGCTCATGTGTCTGAAGTTTTAGGCTCTGTTAAATTAACTCTAACACAACAAATTAAAAACCACTCTGTTTGATTCACTACAAATATATCTTTCCAATTCAATTCTCCAAGGATATCTAAAGATAGTAAAACAGAAAAAGATTAGATTTGGGATATATATATATATATATATATATAGATAGATAGATAGATAGATAGATAGATAGATAGATATAGATATAGATATAGATATAAATAAAACCAATGGAATTTTTCCATTTAAAATAGCTCAGAGAAATACAATAATTATAAATTGAAAAAGAACCAGTCAAAGATCATGGATATATATACCTGACCTTGATCAGCTTCCTAAAAGAGTCATGGGTTTTTTTCGGGGGGGAGTTTAAAGCTATAAGGATTTTCATTTTCCCTTTAATTTTCTCCCCATCTCCATCACTGCTGAATTCCATGATGTTTTCCTATCTTCCTCAGAGACTTCAGTGCTTAGCTCACAGTCTTCCCCTCTACTTCATCTAGAAGATCCAAGAATTTTAAAATATATGTTGGTAACCCCTCAAACTAACTGTCTCAAATCTCAACACGAGTGAAGAGAGGCAGTGGTACAGTGGAGAATACGCTAACTCTGGAGTCAGAGTATGTGTGTTTAAGGCCCTATGAGACCCTGAGTAAGTCACTTAATGTCGCTGAGCCACAGTTTCTTCATCTATAACATGAAAGGGTTGAACTAAACGGTGTCTGAGGACCCTTTCAGCTCTAAATTCTATGATTCTATGATCCATCTCTAATCTTCCCAATAGTAAGGCCATATTCTATCTGACATAATTCAGAATGGTTTCATCCTCGAGACTTTTAACACTGAAATTCCTGTCTCTAATCACAAGTTTTTGTATTTCCAAGATCAGAAACACCTCCCCAACCCCCAAACCAACCCCCAAACCCCCTTGACTATCCTATTTCTGCCAATGGCACTTTGTTGTTGTTCAGTTGTTCAGTTATGTGTGACTTTTTGTGACCCCATGGACCATAACACACCAGGCGCTTCTATCCTCCATTCTCTCTCAAAGTCTGTCCAAATTCATGTTCATTGTTTCCACTACTCTAGTCACCTGTCTCAACCTCTGCTGTCCCCTTTTCCTTTTGCCTTCAATCTTCTCAATCTTCAATCTTTTCAAGAGTCCCATCTTCTCATCATGAGGCCAAAGTATTTAAGCTTCAGCTTCAATATTTGACCTTCCAGGAAATATCCTGAATTAATTTTATTTACTGATTTGATCTCCCTGCTATGCAAGGGACTCTCAGAAGTCTTCTCCAACACCGCAATTTGAAAATGCTGATTCTATGGCACTCAGCTCTTCTTATGGTCCAACTCTTACAACCATACATTTACTGCTAGAAAAACCATAGCTTTGACCATATTAGACCTATGTCAGTAAGGTGATGTCTCCACTTTTTAGTATGCTGTCCAGATTTGCCATAGCTTTCCTTCCAAGAGCAAGCATCTTTTAATTTCACAGGTGCAGTCACCATCTGTAGTGATCTTTGAACCCAAGAATATAAAACTTGACATTGCTTCCATTTCTTCTTTCTATATTTTCCAGGGAGCGATGGGACCAGTTGTGATGATCTTAGGTTTTTTTGGTTTGTTTTTTTTTTATGTTAAGCTTCAAGCCAGCTTTTACACTCTCCTCTTTCACCTTCATCAAGAGGCTTCTTAATTCCTCTTCACTTTCTGCCATCAGAGTAGTATCATCTGCATATCTGCTAGCTGCCCAGTTATTGGCACTACCATTTTCCAAGTCACTGTAACTAGAAAGCTTATCATATTTTTTGTCTCCTTCTTACTCTCACATGCTACCTCCTTTCACACTATCCTGTCCTCAGCAATCTAATCTATTGCCAGGTCCATCTGGTTCATGATGTAGTAGTAAACAGGGAAGGTATATGAGGGGAAAGCTGACTTAGTATTTTACATATGAAAAAAGTAGATAAGGAAATAACATTTTCTGTGTGTATGTGTGTGCATGTGTGTTTGAACTCCTTTTCACCTAGAGATGTTCCAGAAATTCAGCTTTCCTTATTACCTTTAAAATTATTTAAATGGACTGTACAGTTCTTACTTTTCAGAAAACATTTAAATAAATGCTTGGTTTTTTTTTTAATTTATGCCCTAGCATTTGAAAGATTCAGTAAGATAGCCAGTTCTGTCCTTGTGTCTCCCATCCCTTACCTCTCAGGTTATTATTTTCTAAGCATACACACACACACACACACACACACACACATTCCATTTCATTGTCTGTTGCCCAGATCTGTGCAGTGGTTACCACTTACTCTTAGCATGGTTGGGGATTTCCATTTTGGCTCCTGACAACTGTCATTGTGGCATGAATTCAGGGTTTAGCACAAATTTACATTTTTCCATTCTCTATTGCATCACATTAATAAACAACTCAAAATCAAAATAAGCACCCTGGAGACACTGGTGGCATGACCCAGGGATGCTGGGCTGCTGCTGTGAAGAGGACAGGAATGGACGGCTGCTTTAGCAATACCATGGCTTGGCTCCATTCTTCCACCTTGTCATGTGCAACAACCTAACCGCCTTCTCTCCCTGCCCCACCACTCTGTTACCATGGAGACTAAATTATACCAGTAGATCTTGTTCTGAAGGGTACACAATACTAAGCAAGGAGACTCTCAAGCTGGGGTGAAATGCTTATTCTGAAACTGCTATTTTCAACTTAAGTATTCCCCAAAATATGAATTCATGAAGGTAGCATACATTGGTCTAACTGAACAGTAATTACCTCATTACTGCATTATGAAGCTGGATGTCAGTTGGCTGCTTTTGTAAGTGGATAAAGGAATAAAAATCAAGCTGGAACACCCCCTCTGGCAATGATCACAATACCCCTATGTGCTGTGTGTACACATCTGAATCAAGCAAGACCTTAGGTGTTTCTCAAGATGAGGTGGTGGAAATTTTGCCTCCAAGGATCTGTATTTTAACATACAAGGCAGCAAGTGGAATATGGAAAGGTGAGGGGTTGATTGAAAGATCCCCCCTTAAAACTTTAGGGTCATCATGCAGATTTAGGGTATACTCTATGTTCCAATTTCTGTTATTAAATATCATGGCAGTGTATAGTATTGTAAATAGTCCTGGATTCATATTAGAAAAACAGAGTTCTAGTTCCAGCTTTGTTACTGACTAGTTATGTGACTTGGGGCATACCACCCTTCTGGACTTCAATGCCCTAGTCTATAAATGGGGTTTTGACTAGATGATCACTTAGAGTTTTTCTCAGCTCTCAAATTCTATAAGTCTATGAAGTATGAATATAAATGAAGGAGGCCAGTTTCATGGATGGTGTATGAAACCAATCATTGTATAGAATTTTAACATGTCATGGTCACCATCACCAAGGTCACCAAGAATCCTTCCCTCTTTCTTCCATGAATTTCTGAGTAAGTTTCATTTTTTTAGACAAAAAAAAAATCAATGTACATGAGAATTTGCAGATAGGAAAGTTAATTTGCTGACAGAAATGTTTACCATGCTTCCTTAACTCGCACTCCAAGCAGGCAGTCACACAATATTTTTTACATGTTATACAGCCTCTAGTCTAGAGAAGTAGGTTGGTGTAGTGGATAGAATGCTGGACTTGAAGGCTTCAGTTCAAATCTCATCTCTGAGGTTGTGTGACTCTAGACAAGTCATTCAATTTTTCTATATATCTCAAACAACTCCTAAGGACTTATTAATGAAGTCATTGTTGAACTGTAATTTATTTACATCAGTGATGTCAAACAAATAGAAATGGGGCCATTAAACCACCCATAAGAATCCTTGTGGCCCCATAGACTTAAAAACCACATAATAACATTATCTATGTTCTATTGTATTTTCATTTTTGTGAAATATTTCTCAATTACATTTTAATCTGGTTCAGTCTTCTGCATTTGGGAGTGTTGCTGGACAATGCTTGCAGGCTGTGTGTTTGACACCTCTGATCTACATGACTTTGAGGGATTCTCACACCAGCTATTCCCTCCATTGATGACATCATAGCTCCTCTGAACATTCACCTAAAACATCTAGGTAAAATGCTAGGAGCTTTTAAAGTTTATCTCATGAAATACAAGTGTTTGTTCCTAGTTGGTATTTCACTTCCATATTTCCACAGGCATTTTTGTCTTTTTTGCTCTCAAATCCATAAACTTCTCCAACAATGCGGTGTAATGGAAACAGGATTGAATGTGGAGAGAGCACTGAATTGCACCTAGTAGTGCCTTTTGTCAAATGAATATATAACCTTATCTATCTCACTTGACGTCTCTAAGCCTCAGTTTTCTCATCTGAAAAGTGGGGATGATGATATTTACGGAACCTCTATCACTTCACAGCGTTGATAGAAATAAATAAAACAGTATGTAGCAACTGCTTTGTAATCATGATATAAATGTTAGATATTACTATTTTTGCAATGGGCATCAGTTTAGGCAGGAGAAAAGAAAGATATGTTGTCTTTTTAGTCTGTTACTTTGGGCAACAAACTTGACACATGGGAAAAGATTGAACAGTGAGGGAAAACTAAAACCTACTGGTGAGGGAACTTACGGATCAAAGGCTGCAAGCAGGAAGTTGAGCAGTAAGCTGATAGACTGTTCCACGTGGATCTGGTGAGTGGTCGGCATCCTTTTGTTGAGCTGGTAAAAGATGGTTGAAAGCACAGCCTCCAGACGGGCCACATTTAGTTCTATATTTGGGTCTAGGCTGTTCAGGGCATTTTCTCTCAGAGCTTCTATGACGTTCCAAATGTCCACCAGATGTACTGTATGTAATCAAAGGAGATTCATCAAGTTCATTAAAAAAAACCAATTTTTTAGAAAATATTTACCAAATTTTCCAACTGTGGTAGGTTCCTTCAGGGATCAAGTTCCTTATTTCATTAGTGTTATTCCACAGCATCCTGTTAAAGAACACAGGATGTGTTCTTTCTCTCTCTAGCTCTCATTTTCACTCTTTCCAGAGTCTGGGGTTTGTCTCTTTTCTTAGGTCCAATGGCATGTCAGATAACTGGCGATGTCTAAAGATGGAATGGGACATCTCCTAAGAGTTTCCCACCAGTGGAAGTGTTTATGCTAGGGCTAAGTGAATACTTGTTTAGGATATTGTTGAGGGGACTCTTACATAGGTTATGAGGTTGGGATCAGATGACCTTTAAGCTCTCTTCTTGTTTGATACTCATTTATGCTAACGCCTTCCTTCTGTTAATTATCTCTAATTGATCCTTTTTGCAACAGAACAGCCAGTGTAAAGATTTATTTTATAGCTAAAACAGGGATTTTTAATCTAGGGAACCATCTTGGAGTTAGTAAGTCAATAAACATTTATTAAGCATTTATGTGCGCTTGAGACTGTGCTAAGGGCTGATGATACAAAGAAAGGGAAAAGATAGTCCCTGGCCTAAAAGAGCTTAGTCTATTGGGGGAGTCAACATGCAAACAACTATGGAAAACAGGATACATTGGAAATACAGGATAAATTGGAGATAGTCAACAGAGGGAGGGACAGCTAGGTGGCACATTAGATACAGTCATGGGCCTGGAGTCAAGAAAACCCCCTTTGTGAGTTCAAATCCAGCCTCAGGCACTTACTAGCTATGTGACCCTAGGCAAGTAACTTAACCTGTTTGCCTCAGTTTTCTCATCTACAAAATGAGTTGGAGAATGAAATGGCAAACCACTACAGTATCTCTGCCAAGAAGAACCCAAATGGAGTCAAGAAACGACTGAACAACAACAACAGAGGAAAGGTGCTGGAATTAAAAGGATTAGGAAAATGTTTGTAGAAGGTGGGACTTTAGGTGGGACTTGAAGAAGCCAGAGAAATCTAGGGATGGAGACGAGGAAGGGAGAGGCATGAGGGACAGCCAGTGAAAATGCCAAGAGTTGGGGGATGGACTGTCTGAGGAACTGTAATAAATATCTGGAGGTCAGTGTGACTGTATTATAGAGTATGTGGTGTTGGGGGTAGAGGAGATTGAGAAGGAATAGTCAAATGGGTAGGAGGAAAACCAGAAGAGAGTAATGTCCTGAAAACCTAGAGAGAAAGTCTCAAGGAGAGAGTGATCAACATGTCAAAAGCTGTAGAGAAGTCAAGGAGAAAGATGATTAAGAAAAGATCATTAGATTTGCCAGTTAAGAGATCATTAGTCATTGTCAATAAAGTAGTTTCAGTTGAAAGACCAGGTTAGAAGCCAGACTGTAGAGAGTTAAGAAGAAAGTAAAAAGAAAGGAAGTGAAGGCTTCTACTGCAAATGGCCTTCTCCAGGAATTTAGCTACAAAAGAAAGGAGAGAAATGAGACAATACCTAGAAGGGATAGATAGTGATAGCTGGGATAGAAGGGATAGATAGTGAGGGTTTTTTGAGGATGGGGAAGACATGGACATGTTTGTAAGCAGCAGAGAAGCAGCCATTATATAGCAAGAGATTGAAGATAAAAGAATGGAGATGACAGAGTGGGCTGATCTTCTGGAGGAGATGGAACGGAATCAGATCACTTGTGCATGTAGAAGGGTCTGTATTGGCAAGAAAAAGGGCCACCTCTTCATAGAAGACAGGGCTGAAGGACATAGGTGACAAGGCATCTGGGTGATGTGAGATAAGGAGGAGAGAGGAGAGAGCTTTTGGTAAATGACCTCAATTTTTTCAGTAAAATATGAGCCAAGGTTCTCAGCTGAAAGGATGAGGGGAGGAAACGCCATGACAAATTTGAGAAGGGATGAAAAGATTTGGAAAAGGTGGTAGGGTGAGTGGGGCAGTTAGTTTATTAGGGAAGTGTAAAAGGATTTCCTTGCAGCATTGATGGCCCAGTTGAGGTTATATAACATACATTTGTGGTGGATGAAGTCATCATGGATTTGTGATTTTATTCACCTTTGTTCAATACCATATATGTAAAAATGAAGGCAGCAGATGGTGGGAATGATGCAAAGCTAAGGCTTGGCAAGGGCAAGATTGGTGATCAGATATGGGGGCTGAGGGCTCCAGAAAAGCAGTGAAGAGTTGAATTGGTTTGCCAGTGGGTGAAGATGGGGAAAGGAGGAAAGTGTAGCTAGTGCAAGGGTGATGGCATAAGAGAACTGAGAGAGTAGCAAGTCATGGGGTGGACTCTTTCTTCCTGACTCTGAAGTTAGCTTTTCTATTGTGAGTACTATTATCTTCATTTTACAGACAAATTATCTTGGGCTTGGGATTCTGGTCTGTATTATGTGATGGAGTCGGTGTCCACCCACCCACCCACCCTCATCCTAGAACTGGGGCCATAATAAACTTGAAGGCAGGACACCTGGTCAAATGCTGTTGCATGCCCAGCCCAAGAAGGGGGTTAGGGTAAGGGATGGTTTAGATTTGGAACTTGGTGGGACCAAGTTATATAGGAAACTTTAAACTCTGAACTTAGTTAGTCCCCTTCCCCTCCCTAGGGAATGAGGTGATATAAAGAGAGATTATGCTCTCTTTCTCCTTCCTTCTTGTTGGGGGAGGAATGTTTGTATGTATATTCTTACTATACGTCTGAAGTAAATATTACTTTGTAAAATCTCTTTTAAATGATTAAATGGAACTGAGGTTTAGGGGACCCTTAAAACTGAGGGAACACACAAAGCGGGGGCTTCAGCCATTGGCAGCAACTAGATACTCCCAAACACCCTTACTGAACTGAAAAACCTTGATACAGGCTCAGAGGGGTAAAATAACCTGCCATTGGTCACAAGCTAGTAAATGTCAAAGGCAGGTGTGCAACTTTGCTCTTCCCGACTCCAGGTCCAGTAAAAAAATTCTCTACATTATGTTCTTTCTCTTAGATTTATTTTCTAATTAATCTACATTTAGATACCTTCAAATTGTGGCCTTATGCATTCAATACCTAAATTAGTAAGCACGTTTATGGGAATTATTTCTAAAGGGAGTTGTTCAGGGAGTTCATGGATCAATTCAATGAGCTTACTGTGAGGTGAGTCAATGACTGGAACTTCTAAGAGTCCATACCAATCCTCAGAGGATAATGTATTAAGAGTTCTATACCCATTAACAACTTATAAAGAAAACAGAATACAACTGATAAAGTGTTTATGACTGTGGTTATCTCCAGGATAAAGTAGTTGGCCTACATATTTGATTGGGTAGACTTTGGTGGAAAGAGTAACCAATTTTGTGAGGGTCAATAAAAGTGAGGTGATAGACTGCATGTCCTTTTGCCTTTCTTAAGGATTGCAAGAGAGCTAAGAGCTAACTTAAATATGAGAAAAAGGGATAGAAACTTTTGTACGAGCACAATCTCTCTTTCTCCATACTGCAAACTCTACCCCTAAGTGGCTACCTTAGCAAGAAGTACGTGGAAATTGCATGTCCTTATCCTCTTGGCTCAAAAAGGAAATTCATAAAATTGGACTTTTCCAGTTCAAGAGATGGTGGTAGCTAGGAAAGTGGTAGAGTATAGAGAGTTACTGCTGAGGCACATGCTACCTTTTGATAGAGGATAATGTCTTCTTACATATGGCTCACAACAGCAGTTCAAGACAATGCAATTATTGAAATCTTTCTTCCTAGTTAAAGCAGAAGTGGTTTCTAAACTTTTTCTGTGTCTTCTGCTGGCTTTCATGTGTTGTCTGCGGCTTCCACAAAACTCCCCCAAAATTCCCATTTAATTTCTTATGCCGACCTGCCTAGGATATATTGAAACCATGATAGGGAAAGTTGTGATGTAGAGGCATAACTGTAATTACATATTATGAAAGATGGTCAAAAAGTCTTAATGCAGTCAATTAATAAACATTTATTAAACTCCTACTATATACCAGGCACCATGCCATATTGGGAATACAAAGAAAGGGAAAAAGATAGTCCTCTTTCTCAAGAAACTCACTTTTTAATGGAGGTGCCAATGTATAAACAACTATGGAAAACAACCTATCTACAGGATAAAATGGAGATAATCAACAGAGGTAAAGTACTAAAATGGAAGGAATGAGGGATGGCTTCTTGTAGAAGGGGAGATTTTAGCTGGGACTTGAAGGAAACCAGGGAAGCCAGTAGGCAGAGATGAGGGGGTAGGGCACTCCAGGCATGGAGGCAGGCAGTAAAAATGCTTGGAGTCAGGAGATGGAATGTCTTGTTCAAGGAATGGCAAAGAGGCCTGTGTCCCTGAATCACAGAGTGTATGGTGGCAAGGGAGTGGGGATATAAGGGGGTAAGCTTACTAGAAAGGTAGGGGGCTAGGTTAATGTAGGGCTTTGAAAGCCAAAGGATTTTATACTTGATCCTGAAGAGAAATGGAGCCACTGGGGTCTTCCAAATAGAGTTTCTCTGTTTTTGGCAGTGTGTCTGTCAGGGTGAAGGTCCTGTTTATCAGAAGCTTAGGTACCATGTCAGCTGCGGGGAATGGCTCTCTTCTTCCTCTCCTTTTAGGCCCTTGAGCCCTGGGAAGTGGGCTTGGGATTCTGGTCTATATTATGTGATGGAGTCGGTGTCCACCCACCCACCCACCCTCATCCTAGAACTGGGGCCATAATAAACTTGAAGGCAGGACACCTGGTCAAATGCTGTTGCATGCCCAGCCCAAGAAGGGGGTTAGGGTAAGGGATGGTTTAGATTTGGAACTTGGTGGGACCAAGTTATATAGGAAACTTTAAACTCTGAACTTAGTTAGTCCCCTTCCCCTCCCTAGGGAATGAGGTGATATAAAGAGAGATTATGCTCTCTTTCTCCTTCCTTCTTGTTGGGGGAGGAATGTTTGTATGTATATTCCTACTATACGTCTGAAGCAA